CACCGCACTGTGACCGTCGATCAGACTTACAACTTTGAATAATAGCTCCTGGATTTCAACACGTAGAATTCGTGTTTTCTTCCTAAGTAACGACTGATACACAGAAGCCGCAGCCGTTTGTGCCTGGAAAGCTCTGGGTGACGTTAAAGGGCTGATGAAGGTGCTAACTACGCCCCTGGCCACCCAGGCCGGCCCTCCAGCACCTGGCATCTGCCGTGGGCCTTAAACTGGGGATTTCAGAGCTAGGAGAGAAATATGGGATAGAAAGACTAAATCACGTAATAAAGTCAGTTTCTGAAATGGTAAGAAAATAGCAAAGAAAATAAAGTGCAGGGGGAAAGGGAGATGCTTATTGCAACAACGTGTCTGGTGGAAAGGCAGAGGCTTCCGGCTCCCCAGCCCCGGCCATCCCTGCTTTCTGATGCCCCCCCGGTTCCTCAGACCGCACAACAAAATCATAAGTGCCAACACCCCTAAATATTACTTTATAAATTTATTTCTGTTCTAAGTGGATTGCAGAAGCCATTAACATTTGAAACCAGTTAAGTCTTGCTGAAGGGCTAAAACGCAATTGTTTTCAAGTCTCTGCTGATAGATTTTATCCGGGCTGCAGTCCCTGCCCCTGCCCGCCCGGCCTCCCCACGGCTCCCAGCTACGCGTCGCAGAGCGTGGCCGGGTCACGGCTGCTTGTCCCCCGGCCGCATGGACGGTCCCAGCCCGGCTGGCTTCAGATCGCTGTTTATTCTGGCCGTCTGTCCGAACCCCTCATTCCTTCACTGGTGCGTGCTCGCAGGGGGATGACAATGCCACATACGTAGCATTCTGTGACCAGCCTGTCACCTCCCCTCGTGCCAGCCAACCTGCGGGCCTCCCTTTCCGTGTTTGTGTTATAATCCTGCGTTGTCGGCTAACTGCGGGGCTGAGGTATGGGGGACACTTGTTTATTCCCTTGTGTTTTCTTGAGTCCCATGGAAAACAGGCCGACATGGCGACAGTAGCAGGTTTGTTGGCTGACCTTTACCTGCATGAAAATCTGATCTATGAAATACACAAAACTGGGAAGAAAATTAAATTCCCCTTTTCCACTCAAGTGGGAAATACTGAGCGTTATTTCCCCGTTCTTGAAGAAGGGGGAATTTTAAAGCGAGGCCGTCATAGAGGCACTTTCCTGCCGTTCTGACAGCTGTTCATACAAGTTAACGGGCGTGGGCGCGGGCATCTGGGTCGCCCAGGCCGGCCTGGCTGCCACCTGCAAGCCGCAGCCGCCTTCCCGCCACCCCTCCCCCCCGTAGGAACGGGCTAGAGCTTGAGGTTAAATCCTTTCCACTTCTAGAACTTGGTGGTTTTTTAAGAGAACTTCCACTAATGCACACGTGCCATTTCTTCCCTAGAATTTACTAGACAGACCAATCGGCACTATTTACATAGAAAATACACAAATGATGGCCTAAGACTGGAAATCTATTACAAATGACTTTGCTAAAAAAAATAGTGGGATCATTTCGGGACCGTGAAAATGGGTTGGTATCTTTGATTTTTTAAAGAAAATCACTGAATTTATTGAAGCTTTTTAAAATGCAACTATAATTAAGGTAAAACCAAACCAGGCTCTGTGACCATTAGGCTTACTGCATTTTCTGGCAGAAAACGGTCTTTTCGAAGGGACTTCTTTTTCGCCAACGTGTGCTGTGCGCACAGGCACGGTACCGCTCCTCACAGGAGACCGGTGTAAAGCAGGCCGGATCTCAGCGTTCGCCGCAGTGAGCACTGCAGGGCCTGAGCCGCCGAGACGCTGAGACGCTTTCCCGCCCTGCCCTACAGCTGCGTCTGCGTGTTTTGGTCTCGCTGCGGACGTGCTAGGCTGCACTTGGACAGTGCCACCTCTCGTCCCCCCACCCAGGACTGGGAGCAGCATCGCGCTGAGCTCCGGAGTGACCCACGGGAGCTGACTGGAAAGCGATGAGACAGGAGAGAGGCGTCCCGATGGACGGGCGCCTTCCTGCTCTGCTACGTCACAAGCTCTTCATGTCACTGGAGACGTGACGGGGACGGGCCCGTCGGCCGAGGCCAGGAGGCGAAGCGTGCACGGGGCCGTGTACACAGCAGCCCGCTCCCCGGGCGTGACTCAGACGTGTAACATGAACGCCTGCTTTCACTAGCTCCGACTGGGGCTGCGGACCAGGGACTTTATAAGCTGGTGTGACGCATATTTATAAACCAGAATTTTTACAGAGAAGTGTGAGTTATTTCCTTCTCTCTCTATCCCGGTACTGGAGGCACTCACGGATTCAGGGGAGTCATTTGCTTCTAGCTTAAGGGACAGCTGAATATTAATAACATTTTACGAGGAGGGACATAAATCTAAGCCACAAAAGTTGTCACATTTCTTCTCTAAGCGGCAGGTGTTTGGATTACACGTATGATACAAAACATTTCTGTCTCACTTTTCCACTTGCTGTATCGAGGACAATTTAAAAACAGCTCCTATTATGACCTAAAATTACCGAGAAGAAATACGTCACACCCGCCCACACATGCCACCGCCGCAGGAGAGCAAGCAGGCGTGCAAAACAACACTTCCACACTTCAGATGGCAAACGCTTTAAGGATGAATGATGGGAAATGATCTAGGAACTTCCTCACTCATTCAAATAATTTAAAGATGAATTAAATTTTGAATTATGAATCCGTTTTCCTTCACCGATAAGCCTAGACTTGCCCCGTCTTCCTCGGGCATCATCCAGTCCTGCAGCGGCTCCTCGGGGGAGGTCGTGTGTGTGCAGAGAGCAAGAAGCATGACCGTCGCCTTCATTTTTCTCCTTTTGGGCTTTTCACCCTTTGCTCGTGTTCTCTTGGGGGCGTTTGGTTTTACTTTCCTGGTGCGCTTCGGGAACAGCAGCAGGTGCAGGCTGGCCACTGCCCTGGAGGCCACTGAGAAGGGGGCGTGGGGTCACGGGGACAGGCATCTGTGGCCGGACGTGACCCATCCGGGCTGTGGCCCACACGGGGAGGGTCTGCCAAGGCTGTGTTGCGGGCGGACAGCTCGGTCCGCTGACGCCGCCCGCAGACAGGACGCCGAGGGAGCCGAGACAGGACAGCGCTGGGCGGCGACAGCCGCTGCCGCCCGTGGAGTCCCCGGCAGGGCAATGAGCGCCATCGTAACTCCCCGGGAGCGCCCCGCGCGTCCCTGACCGCGCCTGGCCCCCTCGCTCCCCTGGGCTCCCTGCCGCGGGGCAGCCGCCTTTCCCGTCCCGTCTGCATCGCCAGCTCTTACCGGACGCGTCTCTGTCGTCTCCACGTCCCTCCCGCCACCCCCATCACCTGCCTCACGGGACAACAGTGGCAGCACAAGCTTTAAACTAGTCATTTGGTTGTTTGCAAGGACCGTCCCTGAGGCCAAGCTCTGAACCCCAAATTCTTCCTCTCCACTGGCCCGAGCCACGTGCTCGGCTCGAGAAACACCGAGCCGGCGGTCCTCGAAGAAATGGAGGCCGAGTCTGGGCTCGACGTCTGACAGAGACGCGGCCACGTTTCCCTCGCAGCGCTGAGCGGCGGGGCGTCCGCGTGCGCCGAGCAGCCGCCTCTGCCCCGGCACGGCTGACGGCACCAGCGATGCGCGGGCGTGCGCCGCCTCGTGTGCCCTGCGCGCATGTGTGTGCTCTGCGTGTGCATGTGTGTGCCCTGAGCGTGTGCCCTGCGTGTGTGTGCACGTGCATGTGTGCTCCACATGTGCATGTGTGTGCCCTGCGTGTATGTGCCTGTGTGTGTGCATGTGTGCCCCACATGTGCCCCACGTGTGCATGTGTGTGCCGAGTGTGTGCCCTGCGTGTGTGTGCGCATGCTCTGTGTGTGTGCTCTGAGTGTGCCCCACCTGCATGTGCACGTGTGTGCTCCACGTGTGCCCTATGTGTGCATGTGTGTGCCAAGTGTGTGCCTTGTGTGTGTCGTGTGTGCCCCGCACATGCCCTACGTGTGTGCCCTGCGTGTGCCCCGCATGCATGTGTGCATGCATATGTGCCCCACACATGCCCCATGTGTGTATGTGTGCCCTGCGTGTGTGTGCGTGCCCTGCATGTGCCATGTGTGCCCCGCATGTGCTTTACGTATGTGCGTGTGCCCACGTGTGCATGCGTGTGCGAGGCTCAGCGGCGACCGGCCTCGGCAGGGCCGCAGCCTCGTGCTCAGGGCGGCTCAGCTGTTGTGTTGTCACTGCATGGCCCCCGCGGTGACAAATGCTGCTTTTCTTAACCTCGTGGGCACAGACAGCCGCTGCCACGTGTGCAAAGCCAGCTCGACTGTCGGGTTAGAAAATATTCGGATTTAAAAATCCAGCATTCTCGGTGTTTTCCCTGCCTCTGTGATGACAGAGACTGGAGCCTTGTTTGACGTGGGGACGCTCGGTGGCGCCCAGCTGGTTCTGGAAAGCTCGTCTCCCCCACGTGAGGACAGGCCGTGTGGGGACAGGAGCCGCCGCCGCACGGCGTGCAGGGCCCTCGCTTCCCTGCACGCCGCTTTTCTGGGCACTGGGCCTGCACCCCTGCGACCTGTGACCTCTAAGCTGTGTCCCATTTCCTTTAGAACCCGGAGCCAGTCGCAGCCCCCGCCCTCCTCAGCACGCGAGGCGGCTTCCCCCGCTAACGGCGACATGGGGTGTGGGACGAGCTCTCTGGCCCTCAAGTGCCGGGGCTCCCACGGGTGTCCGAGCTTGGGGCCCTCCGCTGGCTGGCTGTCACCTCCTGGGGCCTGGCTGCCAGGCCGCGGGGGACTCCGAGGCGGGCAGACACTGATTGGCTGTAGCGGCTCCTGCCCAGGTAACCCCCACCGGCCCTGCCTCTCGTGACCCTTTCAAGCGCTGCGTCTGTGCGTGTGGTTGCGCGTGGACAGGACTTGCCTGTGTCACTGGAGGTAGGCAGAGCCAAGGGCAAGCTCGTGCGGCCGCCGGCCCCACCCCAAGTGGTCCCAGAGACTGGACTGGTGTGGGCATTCGGGGTGCCCACAGCGCCTTCCCGGGGCGTGGCTGGCAGAGGGGACAAAGCTGTTGACAGCGCTGGACTCGGGGACTCGGGACAGGAGGGGACAATGGGTGGGCAGCTCTGGGCACGGGGAGCCTCAGCCCACCAGCTGCCTGACAGATGCGGCCACGGTCAGCTTGCCCAGCAGCCACCGCGTGCCGCTGGCCGGCCCTCAGCTGGAAGGGGGTGGCCAGATGGTGCACCGTGGGCGGAACCTGCTGTGGCCACAGGACAGCAGTGCAGCCCTTGCAGCCCCATCCTGGCCGGGCTGCGGGGGGAGGGGCCCGAGGGCAACTCCCCAGGCGGGGGCCGGGGAGGGAGGGTGCCGGTGTCAGAGAGCCCGTCGCCCGCAGGCACGGCCTGGTGGCATGTCGGCGCCTCTCTCGAGGGCCGTTTACTGTGTCCAGCCCCCAGGTTTCTGCCCCCAATACCACTGCTGAGCAGCGGGGAGAGCGTTGGTTCGCCGGGGTCCCTGCTGCAGCGGCGTGTCCTTGGCGGGGAGGACGGGGCAGGCACTGCTGAGCCCAGGCTGAGGTCTTAGAAGGACGGGACATCAGCGGGGGGCCGGGCGAGGCGGCAGTGTGGTCACATGGCGCACCTCCGCAGACGGGGAGTCGGGGGAGGCCGCTGTCCGTCACCGCGCTGCCAGCACGGCCGCGTCCCCAGCCGGCTCTGCCACCCGCGTCCCCGTGGCGGGGGGCTCCTTGGGGTGTGTCGTGAGCCAGCAGTCGGCACCGTGTCCCACGTCGCCCGGTCATGTCACACTTTTCCACCGCGAATCCCACGGCTCTCAGATTTCTGCTCATGCCGCAGGAACAGCTGTGTCACCGACGGGCGGGCCGGGCCCACCAGCGATGGCCGAGATGGTCCCTCTCCAGGCGGAAACCCTGGAACAGCCCCCGGGGTGGGACCTGTGCCTGGAGAGTCGTCTCACTAGCGGAACCAGCCTGTCAGCGCAGGTCACTGAACAAAATTCACCAAAAAGTGGGGGCCGAACAGGAAAGGGCTGCACCAGGGCCATTAAGGGTGGTGCGGGTGAGCGGAAGCGTTTGTTAAACCCTCCCTTAACTTTCCCGACGTCACCCAATAGGTGATGGATGGACAGATGTAAATAACAGATGAAAGGTAGATGGACGAGAGGTGGCAGGTGGCTAGGTCATGAAGGGTGGAGGATATGCTGGCTGAAGGGGTGGGTAGGTAGAAGATGGGTGGATGAGCGGATGACAGGCAATGCTGTTTCCTGCGCTAGTGGCTGGTGTGGAGGACGCGTGGCAGTCGAGACCTGCTCTCAGGAGGCATGTTTGCCCGGACACCCCCCGCGCTGAGACCACACCGATGCCCGGCCCTTTGCCCTCCACGGTGTGCGCCTCGCCCTTTTGCTGGGTGCTGTGTCAGCCCCAGCAGTGGCTCTGGGTTCATGGCACGCTTCAGAGTCACCTGGGGGCTGCGTAAAACACAGATTCCCGGCCCACCCAGAGGATTAGATGCAGCAGGCCCCAGCGGGGCGGCGGGG